AGAAACATAGCACAGGAGGCCAGGGGCTACTGAGAGGCTTTTATCTACGTGTGATGGGAACTGAAGAAAAAAAAAATCGGGGTTCATGGAAAGCGTGTGAAGAAATAACAACCACGAAATTCCAACACCTTAAAACAAAGACATTTTTCAGATTTCATATTAAGCAGCATAAACAAATCCAGATCCACAACAGCACAGGTCAGAGTGACCCTGCAGGAGGTGAGGACTAGCAGGGAATCCCAGCAACCAGAGAAACAAGGCAGCACGTGGCACAGGAACGGTTACATTGTTGCCGACGCAAACCGCACTGAGCGGAGAGGTCACGGGGACGCACCTCCCGGCGCTGGGCACTGACGCCTGCCCGGCCAGAGGCTCGGCCTCGCTCAGCACCAGGCGGGAGGGCAGCCGTGTAAGGACAGAATCCCCCCCATGGGCCCCCCGAAATAACAAGGTGCGTCAGGAGAGGAAGGAATTCGAGGGAAACTGGCAAACGAGAAACCAAAGGGAGCACAGAAAGTCCCGACCCTTCCTGGAGGAGTGGGGCTGATACTCTGTAGTCAGAGGAAAAACTCAGTGAGCAGGAACAGAGACGGGACTGCGCATGCGCAGCTGGGCTGACCTCCTGGTCTCCCTCAGGACACGAGGGGAGTGCTGAACCATTTTAAATGTCTGCATTTCTTATTGGTTCCTTTACAATAATGTGTATTAACCTACGCCTTTTCTAGCAATGTTTAAATTTAAAAGCTTAAAGTCATAGAAAATGTGATACTCCAAAGACAGGAAAGGAAGAAACAAATGATAAGCAAATATTCACAATAAGAAATACATCTCAAACTGCTGCTTTAAAGAAACACGCTTAAAACTACACTGACTCTGTAAGGAAAAAGATGTCATGCAAATTTAAAAAAGCAGAAACTGGTACTGTCAGACAAAACTACACGTAAGGCTATAGCATGAAATAGAATAAAGAGGGTGCCTACGTAACAATATAAGAAACAATCCAATGGAGAGAAATTACAAGTTTATAATCACATAACAGCATAATCTGGAAATAGGCAAAGAAAAAAATGGACCAGAATTGTTTTTTAAAATTTTAAACTGGCCCGGTCAGTGTGGCTCAGTGATTGAACGTCGACCCTGCACCAAGAGGCCGCCGGTTCGATTCCCGGTCAGGGCACATGCCCAGGTTGTGGGCCCATCCCCACTGGGGGGCATGCATGGGGCGGCCAGTTGATGTTCTCTCTCATCGATGTTTCTATCTCCCCCTCCCTCTCCCTTCCTGTCTCTCTCTCTAATATCAATAAAGAAAAAAATTTAAAAATTTTAAACTGTCCATTTATATTGTGAGCTTTTTAAATGCCAATTTATATGTTTCTAATAGATAAACAAAAAAGGAAGAATATTTGAACAACAAAATAGCACACTTAATTGTATGCCTCTGTGTGTGTGTATATATACATATATACATATATAGCCCCAAATAGAAAATACAAACTTAGATTGTTTACAAGCATACATGGTACATTTTAAAAAAATCACTACATACCATGTCATAAAGACAATCTCAGCAGATTACAGAGAATGGTATACTATAGACCACTTTATCTTACTGGTATATATTTTTTTAATTTGTCCTTGAAGTTGGAAAACATTAATAAACAGGATTTTATACATACAAACATCCTCTTATATACTAAGCAAAACTAAGGAAACAGAAGAAAACAGTTACTTGGAATCTTTCACATTTTCTTTATCCTCACTCGAGGACATTTTTCCATTTTCTGTTTAGATAGAGTAGGAGGGGGAGAGAGAGAGAGATAGAGAGAGAGAGAGAAACATCGACGTGAAAGGGACACATCGAGTGGCTGCCACCCGCACGACCCACCAGGGCCGGGGACAAATGGCAACCGAGGTACGTGCCCTTAGCAGGAACCGAATCCAGGTCTCTCTGGACCGCAGGCCTACGCTCTAACCGCTGAGCCAAACCGGTCAGGACGGAATCTTTCACTTTTTGAATGTAAAATTGTGTCTGTAATTTTGTGGAGAACCTCTGACCAGCTCAGTTGCTAAAAGAGTTATATTTGCAGTGTCATACCATGTGATCTGTGAGTCAGCATACGCAACCAACCTTTTAATCTTCTTTCCAGAGAGACTTTGAAAAACACCGTGATCATAAGTGAAAAATAAATTTTGTTTAGCTTGAGGAAATCATTATTAGGTGTTTAGGTTTTTTTAATATATATATATATTTTTTATATCCTCACCCGAGGGTAGTTTTCCATTTATTTTCAGACAGAGTGGGAAGGAGAGAGAGAGAGACGAACATCGATGTGAGAGAGACACATGGATTGGCTGCCTCCCACGTGACCCAGACCAGGGCCGGGGACCATCCTGCGACCGAGGTACGTGCCCTTGACCAGAATCAGACCCGGGACTTTGTCTGAGGCCAGGGCTCCACCTGCTGAGACAGACTGGCCAGGGCTGTTCAGGTTTCTTTACACCTGAATAAATGTCATTGTTTTAAATCACTCTGTGGGTGTGCTAAGGACCATTAACAGCCATTTTCAGATCACCTCAAGGAGAAGTGAGCCCAGGGCCGGTGGGGACCCCAGTGCGGTTGGGACTCCGGGAGGGTCATGGGGCCAGGTGGCCTGGACTTCTGGGTAAGAGGTGGGAACTGAAAACAGAAACAAAACCGTGGTCCTCAACCTCCAGGAACAGAAACACTCCGGAGAAGTTTCAGAGACTGGCTCTGCGCCGAGCGGATGAAATCAGCTCAGAAGGGGCCGTGGAAGGCCGGCGGGGGCGCAGGGTGCTGGCCGAGGGGCTGCGGGGCAGGGCCGTGCCCCTTCCTGCAGTTCTGGGCCTGGGGCCCTGGGATACAAGGCCTGCGGCCTCCCCCACCTTCTCGGTTCTGGAGGCATCGGCGGCCCCCAGACCACGCTGCAGCTGCCTGTGCAGAGCCCTCCTGTCCCCAGGGCTGGGGTCCAAGCGGGAGCCGGGGCCCCAGCCCTCACCCTGAGGGAGCCCTGCCCACGCCACTGTCCTGCTCCCGGCATGGATGAAATGTCACATCGAGGGGCATCTGGTTCTCGGAGCAGCTGCCCAGGGGTTGGATGACACCCCACAGAAGTCCCGGGGAGTCTGTTCCCGGTGCGCTGGACATTGACGGATGGGAAACGGGACAGAGCGGGAACGAGGCAGATGGTTCCCTGTCCCCTCCCCCTGCAGAGGGCTCTCAGACACGGTTCTTCTGCAGGTCCTGAGCCAGCGTCCTGCCCATGGTGAAGCGGTGGCCAGCATGTAACACGTCACATCACCTTCCCCATTTCCTCCTCCCTCGATTCTCCTCGTCCCTCACCGCGACCATCCTGCCTGCCCCTCCTACGTCCAGGTGGGCACTGCCAGCCTGGTCTCAGGCGGTACTTCCACAAAGTGTTCCTAGGAGCACTCTAATGCCAGTTCTCATGGCCTAGCATGCTGGGTACTGTCCCCTTGCCTCCACAAGTCCCTCTCCGTGCCCCCCACTCAGCCCTCTGCCCTGGGAGGGGACTGAACTGCATCAATAGGGCACCCACGCCCTCTGCCTACCTGTTAGGTGCAGCCAACGGGCTGCCCGGGAGCAGACTGGAGGGAGAAAGTGTTTATCCTCTTGGTGCCCTGAGGGGTTGGCAGCGGGGAAAGGCCCACCTGACCCTCCCCACCCAGTCCTCCCTCCGCAGACTGATCTGCGGCCCTGGCCTCCACTGACCACACCCAACTGGAAAGCAGAGTGAGGTGCGCAGGGGTCAGCCTGCCCGGCTGCGGGGTGAGGCTCAGAAGGCAGAGAAGGCTGTCCCCCCGCCGCCTCCCTGTTCTAGTGCCGGCTGCCCCGGGCTCACGGGGGCGGGGGGACACCTGTGCTACGTGCAGAAGGAGACGACAGATCTTTGCGTGTCCGCGACCAGCTGGTGCAGGCAGTATTCCCGGGGCAGAGCCTTGGCCCACACGGTCTGACATTGCCTTGGGCCGGGCAGCCGTCGGAAAAGCGGGCCCAGGCCACTAGCCGGGGAAACTCAGGCCCTGTAGGCGGGGAACTGCGGGGCCGCTGGGCTATTTAAAGCCAAGGGCTGGCAGAGAGCAGGGGCCTCCGGTCGGCCACCTTCTGAAATCCAGATTTGTCAGCGGCTCTACAGAGCCCGGATTGAAACCCTTTCACTTCAGTACCTGCGCTTTTTAAAGAGGTTTCCTATACTTAATGTTAACTCATGAGAGGATGAGTGAGCATGTCTTAGTAATAGTTCATAAATATCCACAGAACATATGCTGTTTAAAAAAAGAAACTGCCGATAAGAGTCAGTTTAAAAAAGAATAAGGTACATATTTGGAACTTTTAAAAACAGGGTTTGCATCACACATGTCACGTGAGTTTAAGGCAGTAACAACTGTAGTGAATCAGAGATCTATTTCAGACCCGGTGTCCAAGCCCTGTATCCGAGCTTCAGGCTCTGTGTACCGAGCCCGCTGTAACGAAGCCCACCGCGAAGGGAAGCCTGGCAGCTGAGGGGCTGCAGCTATTTTAGCACAGTCACAAGTGTCCGTGAGGTGGGCGCGCATTCCTGAAGTCACAAGGCACGACAATTTCTGCAAAGGCAGCTCCCTGGCACGGCTGGGGTGACGAAGGAGTGAGTCTGAGTTCTCTTTGGTACCAAACCGGACGCCGAAACTGGCAGTGTGTCGGTGTGGGAACAGCATCACTTTGAGCTACGGGACCTAGTTAACAAGAACCCTCTCGGAGTCGGATACAAAGACAAGCTCAACAATCCTGGCCAGTTTGGCTCAGAGGCTAGAGCGCCGACCCAAAGACCAGAGGGTTGCGGGTTCGATTCCAGTCAAGGGCACATACCTCGGTTGCAGTTTGGTCCCCAGCCCTGGTCGGGGTCGTGCAGGAGTCAGCCGGTCGGTGTGTCTCTCGCTCTCTCTTTTTATCTATCTGAAGATACGTGGAAAAATATCCTCGGGTGAGAATTTTAAAAAGAAAGGAAGTCAAGCTCAACATACCGGGAAGCATGCCTGTATTTTAAATCTTCATAAGAACCATTTCGGACGCGGGTCCCACCAACTCCTGGCACCTCACCGGCCGAGTTGCGACCTTCGTGCCCTCCCCGGGGCGGGGGGCGCTCACTTGGCGCCCGGACCCTTCGCTTCCACCACCAAAATGCCATCGTGGCAGAGGCTGGCCGCCAGGTCCTTGGTCTCGACGCCCTCGGGCAGCCTGTACTGCCGGGTGAAACTCCTGGAGACAAAGCCGTGCTCGTCCATCCTGGTTCCATGCTGAGCCTTGACCAGCAGCCAGCCTTCGAAGGTCTGGATGATGATGTCCTCGGGGAGGAACTGGACCACGTCCAGCAGGATCTGGAAGCGGGCTCCGCTCTCCTCAGGGGGCGTCTCCGCCGCGGGGTCCCCCAGAGGCGCCTGGGCCGCCCGGGCCTGTCCCAGGTCCACGGTGGTCGGCCCAGGCAGAGCGTACAGAGCGTGGTCCAGCCGGCAGTCCTCCAGGCCCCGCGCCTCGAACTGGCCCTGGTAGCGCACCGGCGTGTCTATGAGATGTCTCAGGACGATCTGGGCCATCGCGGGGGCGGGAGCAGCCGGACCAGCGTCCAGGGCTGTGTTCACTCGCTCGGCCGCAGTTCCCCTCTGGCCAGATGCTCAGTTGGAGCAGCTATTTGCTCATAACCCCGCGCAGACGCACTGGCTCGGTGAGGCCTGGACACACCCCCACAGGCTCCCTGGTGTCCTTCACACCCGGGAGAATGAATGGCTATTTATAGGACCTGCTCCGACTGCATTTAGCTCCAGCCTGCTGGCGTGCCCAGATCTGCCCTGGGTCTCAGCTATCCCTGGCAAAGCCACCGCCTTGCTTATCTCGGGAGAGAGAGAAAACTCAGAAGCAGGATTTGAACATGTAAGTGCACTGTCCTCGTGAGTGACTGCGGTCTGAGGCACTAGGGCTTCGGAGAGCAGCCGGGAGAGCCCGCTGCCCTGCAGTGACACAGGCTGCGTGCGCCCTGGTCTCCGCAGGCGGCAGAGAGGAGCCCAGTGACACCGGTGAGGACTGAAGGGACATTCAACCTCTGCATCCCACAAACCCACAGCCCCTGTCCTACATCTCTCTCTTATCGTCGCTCTTTGGCCCCTAAGGGCAGCTGAGCCACGGCATCTGGGCTGATTCCACTGGCCTTGCTCATCAAAAACGGGGTCAGGTGACTCAGGGAAGTGGCAAGCCCCAGGGTCGGAGGGGCCTAGCACTGGGACCCTCGGTAATGAAAACAGAGCCACTGGGGGGAGGAAAAGGTAAAAGCTTCGAGCTGTGTGATACGAAAGCCCGGAAATCTCGAGGGTACCTGGTCACAGTGCCGCTGCTGAATCGGCAACGACGAACTACACCTAGGTTCTCAACTGCGACATTCTTTTTTATCCTCACCCGAGGACATTTTTCCATTTTTTGTTCAGGTAGAGTAGGAGGGAGAGAGAGGAACAGAGAGAGAGAGAGAGAAACATCGACGTGAAGGGACACATCGAGTGGCTGCCACCCGCACAACCGACCAGGGCCGGGGACAAACTGCAACCGAGGTACGCGCCCTTATCGGGAACCGAACCCGGGTCTCTCAGGACCGCAGGCCGATGCTCTAACCACTGAGCCAAACCGGCCAGGGCTCAACTGTGACATTCTTTGGAAAGGACAAGTCACGTCTGTGTTGACGGCTGCAGAAGGACCTCCCAGACCCGTTAGAGGTCCAGAGGAACCATAAGGTGTACCTTTGTCACAAGTAGGTACTTGCTTATATAAACAGCATCTCTCTGAAAGTAATTGTGCCTAGGGACAGAGTGGCCTCCGGGGGTAACAGGGTGGTGGGGGAGGGGCCAGGGCTGGAGGGAGACTTGATCCCCACTAGGAATACACGTGTGCTTTTTATCCTGCACCGGAAGGTTTCATATAAAGAGCGTCCTTGCAGTGGGTCAGCCTTTTCTAGAATGGGTGGATGTGGGAACCCAGTTCTTTATCAGCATATCCATTTTCTTAGAATGGAAGAAAAATGCCCATAAAAGATTTAAAAATCAGAAAACCGAGGGGAACACTCTCCTTTCTCTTACCCTAAAGACCTCAGGGACCCTTTGGTCTGTACTTAAAAACACGCATAATAACGCTACTCACGCCCAGCGTTTGTGACCTGCACTCGACAGGGCGGCGGCCTCCAGGGAGCATGTAGCTTGCACATGTTTTACTGTCCTCAGGCTCAGGAAACATGGAGCGTGTTTCCATTGGAGCTGCTCCGAGAGCTAAGTCAGGAACAGAACTCACGGCCGGCCGGCGTGGCTCAGTGGCTGGGCGTCGGCCCTGCACCAAGAGGTCGCCGGTTCGATTCCCGGTCAGGACACATGCCCAGTGCGGGGTGTGCAGGAGGCGGCCAGTCGATGTTCTCTCTCGTTGATGTTTCTATCTCTCTTCCTATCACTTCCTTTCGCTCTAAAAATCAATAAAGGAAAAAACATTAAAAACAAACAAAACAGAACTCACTGCCAGCAGCAGCATAGTAAGAATTTGATTTTAAAATAGTAGAAAAAGGCACAGCAAAATTGAGATTTCCCATCCCCCTCGTCCCCACACATGCAAAGCCTCCCCCACTGTCAACACGCCCGCCCCCAGAGGTGCACGTTACAGCTGATGACCCTTCACTGCACACCACCCCCCGAGTCCAGGGGTGCCTGCAGGTTCACTCTGGGTGCTGCACAGTCTGTGGGTTTGGACAAATATATAACGACGTGTTTCCACCGCTGCCGTGTCGTGCAGGGTGTTTCCCGCCCTGAAACCCTCCTGCTCTGCCTGCTCACCCCCCTCCTCCTCACCCCTGCTCTAAAAAATATAAAGTTTACTTAAAAACCTAAAACTAAAACTGGTCTAAAAAATTAAACTCTGTTTTTTTTAAAAAAAAAAAAAACTGGAAAGACACTGTTAGGGTGGGCAGAGGGAGGATCGGGCGGGCCTGTGGTTTCTTGCCTCCGGGACCTCTGGGGAGGACTAGATGTTGGTGAAGTTCCCACTCGTGATCCTGTGAGTTGGTGAGGTTAAAAATGAGCATCCACATTCCCAGTGCAAAACCCAAAACGTCTACTTCTGCCATTTTCCCCAGACTGCCCCCGACATGGGTCCTTCGCCTGCCCTGCCTCCTCCTCGCCAACCACCGTGGCCCCTCTCCCGTTTGGAGAAGCTGCCTGCCCCTAGCTGGTCTCCTGTCCCCGCGCTGGCCCCTGTCCGTCCTCCGTGCTGTAGCCACAGTGGCTGCTCTGGAACGTGGTACAAATCCTGCCAGTTTCTTGCTCTGCAGTCCCAGCCAGAAGCTTCTCGTAACCAGAACGAAACCCCAAATCCTTCTCCCGGCCTCGAGAACCTGCCCTGGGGCCTGCTCACCTCCCTGCCTCGCAGCCTTGATCCCACCATCCGACCTCGCCTTGTCCCTGGCCTGTCCGGGACCATGTCAAGTGTTTCCTCCTGGGCCCTTTGCCCTCGGGTCCACAGTGAGAAAGGTCCACTCTCAGGATGTGTCCAGGTCGGTCCTCCTTCCCTCCGACTCAGGTCAAACGTCCTCTCTCCAGGCAGGTGTCCCCACCCTCCAGTCGGCCTCCGCCTTGTCCCTCTGTCACTGTGCCCGGCTCCATCTCCGTCATCATGGGGACCATCCCGAGACGCGTGAGCGTATCCTCCGTGCACTTGTTGTAACCCAGGAGAATCAACCTCACTCGGACACAGAGTAGTTTTGAATATTAGGAGCTTTATGACCTGCGCAGGGACTGCAGCCAACCTACACCGAGGAGAACTGCAGCCCCGAGCTCAGGGGGAGGGTTGCTTATACAGGACAGGGGTCACTCAAGAGTTTAGCAGAGCAAGCAAGCTACGTGTACAGAAGCAGATATCAGCAGTTAGTAGCTGTACAAGTTGTTTATTTTATATTTCTTAACATTTACTAGACCCCAGCCCTGAATGTCTCATTGTCCCGTCTGGCGTCTCCTGATTAGTTAAGCTCATGGTCAGTACCCTTGTGGTCATGGCTGATGCATACCTTCCTCTTCAAGAGTTTTTGCAAAAACAACTCGGGATCAAGGAACCCAGGAGAGGTTCCTTCTTCTAGCGGGTGGAGAATTACTGGGTTGTCACACACTGAGCAGGGGTGGGCCCTGGTTTCAGGCTTTCTCGTGTGAAGCCCGTTGTGGTCGGAGGAGCTGCTCTTGGCCATTGTCTCTGTGTCTGCATTTACAGGGTTCCCCCATCACATCTTCCTAACTCTCTGGTGTGGGGTTCAGGCCCCCACATGACAAAGGCAGGTGGGCGAGGCTACCTTTCAGGGCCGCTCGGTGGCCCGTGCCCTCCAGACGACCGCTCTGCTGGCCTCCAGACCCGGCGGCGCCTCCTCTCCCTCCTCCTGCTGGTCTTGCAGGCAGGAGCCGAATAGGAGCCCAGAGACACCGCACCGTCCTGCCTGGAGCCATCACTGTTCCCGCGAAGGACACAGACCTACCGGTCTGACGAGGTGAAGGCTCCAGAGATTGTCCTGGTGCCGTCACAGGTGTGTCCTTATCAGGGGGGCCAGGGGGACTCGACAGGCCCACGGGGCGGGGGGTGACGTGAAGACAGAGCAGAGAGAGTGCAGAGGCTGGCCTTGGGGACTGGAGTGATGAGGCCACCAGCCGAGGACGCCGGCAGCCACCAGGAGCTAGACGAGGCAGGAGCAGCCCGCCCTGGGGCCCTGAGAGGGGTCCTGCTGCTCTGGACTTTGGCCGGCGGCCTCCAGGACCAGGTAAAGGAAGTCTGTTGGTTTCAGCCTCGCAGTGGGGAACGACCCGTTCCTGCAGTCCCAGGAAATGAACCCAGACGCCCTCACCCTCGGCTCCTGATGCCCTCCAAGGCCCACCACCCTCCCGTCCAGCGCCCTGCTGCTCCAGCTCAGGACAGGCCTCCTGTGTGTGCTGGGCGTGCGGGCCACCCTCCCCGTCCAGCGCCCTGCTGCTCCAGCTCAGGACAGGCCTCCTGTGTGTGCTGGGCATGCGGGTCACCCTCCCCGTCCAGCACCCTGCTGCTCCAGCTCAGGACAGGCCTCCTGTGTGTGCTGGGCATGCGGGTCACCCTCCCCGTCCAGCGCCCTGCTGCTCCAGCTCAGGACAGGCCTCCTGTGTGTGCTGGGCGTGCGGGCCACCCTCCCGGTCCAGCGCCCTGCTGCTCCAGCTAAGGGCAGGCCTCCTGTGTGTGCTGGGCATGCGGGCCACCCTCCCCGTCCAGCGCCCTGCTGCTCCAGCTAAGGGCAGGTCTCCTGTGTGTGCTGGGCATGCGGGTCACCCTCCCCGTCCAGCGCCCTGCTGCTCCAGCTAAGGGCAGGCCTCCTGTGTGTGCTGGGCATGCGGGTCACCCTCCCGGTCCAGCGCCCTGCTGCTCCAGCTAAGGGCAGGCCTCCTGTGTGTGCTGGGCATGCGGGTCACCTGGCCCCTTCCCTTCCGCACTGTCCAGCAGGCCGCCACCAGGGGTCGTGGGCGGACCCGTGGACGAGGACGCTGTGAAGGATTCTGCAGCCGAGCTGGTG